AATGAAAAAAAATAAAGATTAATTTTCCTTTAGAATCTATTCTGTTGTTAATGTCATCAATAAAAGTGTGAAAAATAAAGCTAACTTTTTCCCGTTTGTTGTTCTCTTGGAATACAATAAAAATTATCGTTTTTCTTTTTTTCTTTTTGCACCTCTGTTCTGTTCCATTTTGTTGATACATTTTCTTCTTTCAAGCATTTTCTCGGCTATCATTCACATTGATGCAGCTTAGCAACAGCGTTGATTTCATAGATAAACAAACAATCATAACATTCAGCCTTCGAGCAACATCTCAACGTTCAACTCTGAGCCATTGCTATAACCTCAGTTCACTTTAGCATAGCTTTATAAAAAATCCATTTATTTCACCTATTTTCTTGTTTAAAATAAGAAGAAAAACTTCTATCAACCTTATTTTAAAACTGTTTCTTTATTCTTGACAAATACAAATTGTTCGTAACTTACCGTATGTCTCAACTGTTTTTCTTCGTTATATATTCCATACCAAAAATTTTACATAAAATTACTTAAACTCTAATCTAATCAAAACAACAACCAAATATCTTCACAAAAATACTTCATTGCTAAAAGCAAGAAGAATGAAAAAGAAACCCCCCGTTATCACAGAACAGTTCATAATTAAACATAAATGATCTATGTGTCAGCGACAATAAAACTTTAAAAAAATAGATTTTTTTCCCCAATTCTACAATTACAGATAAGAGTTTTAAATAAATGTAAATAAAGAGAAGAAAAAAAAAATGCAAATTTGAAGAGGTTTATTACAATTACCTTTCAACAAAAAAACAATCAAACCATTAACACCTAAAAAACAGCCAACCATGTAATGCCTTAATTCTCAACAACTAAAAATTTCCACTCAAACATCTGCTAAGTTTTTAACCCAAATTACATACATCTTTTCACACATTTTTACTTCTGCAAGTAAATAAACCATAAAAATTAACAGCAACAACAAAAATAAAATTTCATTTTGAAATCTTAATAATTAACTGAAATCACCAAAAAGAAGAAAATCTTTCACCAGTTGCGCGGGTAATAATAAAAATCAAAAAAGTCAGAAAAATTCAATAACTTTTATAAGAAACCTAAGAATAACTGCTCAATTAACATCAAAATAGTAAAGACATAAGCCCAGAAAGGACTGTATAGTTGTCTGCTACCATCTTCGTCATCAAGATCATCGTCATCTTCAACTACATCTGTCTTCAGATTAGCATTACAGTTTGCGCCAAGACAACAATATACAGAATCGCCTACAGCTGTACGAAACGACTGACCATTTTCCTTAAATTTAAGAAATCACTGTTCTCAGAATAATACCATAAAATTAATCAAAAATTTCTCTCTATTTTTTGACCATATGACAACAAACAATAAAAAACTTTCAAAAAAACAATCAAGCAATTAGAAAAACATTTTCATATTTTTTCAAAAACTAAAAACAGTTCATCTCCACAAAAGTAATACTGTAAAATAACACTAATCGTCAAAAATGACAGTTATCTAGAAAGAGAAAAATCACAAATGCAACAAATTCTTGAAAAAAAAGCAGATCATAAAAAATAATGAAAAAGAATTTAAGCATTCAGCAATATGAATATAATAGCAACGACAGATAAAGCAAAAATTCGGTTAGATAATCAAAAAGTTATTCGTGTTGTATTCATTTACATACAACGACTGCAAAACGAAACTGGAGATGCACGTTTTATTCAAAAGTGCTCACCTTACAACATGTAGGCCATTGCTCGCCAGCTTCAAAACATCGTGTACCACAGTCTTTACTTGTACGTCCACTCACTGAAACTACCACAAACATTAAACATCATTTTCACTTCTCTATAGCTACAGTTTTATTTAAAAAATCAGCAAAACTAACACTCACCGGTTACTTCCAAAAAATTCATTTCTTTCAAATAATTATGAAATAATTTATTGTAGAAGATCAATATTATGTTCCAAAAATGACGATCTTAAACCGTATAAAAATAGAAGTTTTTAACAAAACGATTTATTCCTAGTAAATAAATGAGAGCGTTATTTTGGAAAAAAAGTTTCATGAAAGTTTCAACTGCAAATACGAGGTTAAAAGTGCTGGTCAATAAATAAAGGAATAAGGAAGGGCTAACCATGAAGTTCCGCGTAACATGAAGTACCATTGCATTCTACAACACTCTCTACTTCATCGTCTTCTACCTTTTTAATACACGTATGATTAGATTTGTAACTGTACACCACCACAAAAAAAACTATCCAGAACAATAAATTATACCACATTACAAGTTTAGCTGTAATGAATTAGAATAATTTATTACAAAAAAAAAGTAATTAGAGAGGTATTCATATAAGCAAAATACGAAGAAATCTTTAAAAAATATTAGTCTTTTAAAAAAAACAAATGAGATCTTATCAATTGAATACCTATTTATAAAGGCTGCATAGGTAACGTACAGGTACTCTACCGGTTCACCTCAGGTCAGCGATTGACTGAGTAACTGCAGTTACATTTCACACCATCTCAACAAAGTCCTAAAAACCGGTTAACCAACTCCTGTACAAATTACATAAAAACAATGCCATAAACAGCGACAACCTGCATAAAACGCTACCAGTGCAAAGTTTACCTGTAATTGTATTATCACTGTTGAGCATATTTATAATCTGGTTACAGGCAACATCTGATATTATAAAAAAAATTGCTGATACCTTAAATATCCGCCAACTTTTTTTCTCAACAACTAAACAGTTAAGTTTACCGTCGGCTTCAAATTTCCGCTTTAATCCAAAGGTAACTTCCAGTAACGAAGAAAAGTAAACAACTGATTGTTCAGGCAGTTGGAAGTTGTTTAATTTAATCAACTTGAACTTGCAGTTTTACCCTAACACCAAAAACCACTATGTTGAAGTAAACACAGCCGTTACCATAACCAAACACTGTCAAATAACTGATACATCAAGCGTACTGAGGCAACATTAGCTAAGCAATACAGAATGACGAAAGGGAATGCAATAAACTACAAAAAGAAATTCTGCGCCATCGTAGCAATGCCCTACCAATTTAAATGGCAGAGTTTGGAATTGGCATCAGTTTCACCAGCACCTACTGTAAAGCAACTACCTCCAATGTTTGCAGCTGAGACTTCCCGACAATCACATATCAGCATTAATAAATTCAAGAGTTCGAGAAAAGAGAAATTGATTAATATGAAAGAAAGTCTCAGAAATTGCTGTGTTGTCCAAAAATCTTGAATGTTTAGGAGAGTCAGTAAAGTTGATAAAATTTAGATGACTCCCAAAATACTTTCACAGTGGCACATAAACAGTTTATTTCTTCAAACGTTTAAGATGAAACAAGACATTAACGTATTGAACATTGAGACTACAGTTGAAAAATGAACAAAAAGTGAGAAAATCCACCGCCACAGAAACAGCAACGTCACTGCTTTCTAGATTTTTTAAAACGTCCCCAGTAAAAGCTAAAACCAAGATGAAGTTAAAACAAGAAATACAGTTTAACCACCTCATTAATATAAATAAACGCAACATGAAGAAAGTTTCTTTGAAGATATAATACGATAGTAGATTGAAACATATATGAGAAATACTAACACCGTCCCGCCTAATTAAAGCAACATTTGCGGCGGAAATTACATTCTAAAACCTCCTACAGCAAAGACTCGAACCAGAATTTCTAAAACTGAGACTCATCCTCGCTAATATACAAAAAAATTATCTATTTCAACTACCTTTCTAGCCAATTATTATACAGAAAGAAGTACTTCCTCGGTACAGCCCCACCAATAGAAAAACCGAAGTTATCAAATTAGCAGCACAACAGGTGGTTAGAAATAGTTGTTTTACCTGCATTTTTTAAAACGCTTGCACTAATTATCCTGACTAATACTAAATGAAATTGTGTAACTGTTAAACGAAGAACAGACAAAGAGGTTTTGTTGAGATAACAGACTGAATGAAAAAATAGCGAAAATTGATAAAGAACCTAGTAAAGATAACTTCACCGCAATATTAAACGAGTTATCAATAAATGAAAATGCATAGACCAGCTGCTTTCAGGTATATAACAGAGCAAGAAAAAACCTTCTGAAGCTCTCTTTAAATATACGGAAAATTTTCTGTCGGTATTCAGTTTAAATTCAACCTCAAACTTTCCATTTATTTCCTGCAACAAAGGTGATAGTAACTTTTGGGAGTTTCTGTCGACTCCTCTTCCTTGTTCCTCAGTGGTGAGGCTGTTACAGTGAAACACCGAGGAGAATACTATAGCAATAAAAATCTAATAAGTCCTAGGTAAATTGCAGCATTTCCGAGTCATTTAAATAGTTCAATAAGACAAAGACGCAATAAAGAGCAAAACCAAAGTGATAAGTTTCGTCTAACAAACTCGGACAGCTGTCACTGGTGTCACTGACATGTTGCAGATTCCACCTGAAAAACACAAACGGTAATTTTATAGAACTTATACTGGCTGGTGGGAACACTATAATAAAAACTAACCTTCTTCTTTTGAACATTTTGCTCATTTGGTTTTGCTATCTTCCATTCCTTTATTCCATTCACTAGAATGTCATCGATATCTAGGAGATCCAGATAAGCAACCTAAATGCAAAAACACTGCAGGTCTGAACCAATTAGCAGAATGAATTTCTCATTACAACGTAAAAATCGTTTCAAATGTGAATAGAAAATTCAAATATATATTTAAATCAGAAAAACAGCACACTGGAAAACAATGTCCAGCCTTTATTAACTACCAAAAGTGGTTCTCGACTTAAGTGAAAACTAGATAAAAGTTTAGTAAAACAGCAAAACTTACAGTTCCCCTCATATAGCGAATAACCGAGCTCACGTGAATCGGATTGAAATTTTTTTGAATATATAAACACCGCCAAATAGCACCCGCCAGGACTGCGTCAGAAGACAGAAATCCCTAAATATACACGCAGTAAACTCCAATCTAGTAGCATCCAGTCAAAATGACTAATAACAAACAGGGTAACCTCGTCATACTCCACTAATGTCTGAACATATAAACCGTGCATTTTCGCAATATCATTCTTACTATCAAGCTTCGCACCAATTTCCTTCTAAAAAATTCCACGCAAAAATTAAGTCTGAAGAGCCTATGTAATGACGTTAAAAGCTTCAAATACTGCTTGAAAAAGTAACTACTATCAAAAGAACTAATTGATGCTAAAAAAATAAGTCACTTTTAGATTTGTATAAAGTTTACCCCTACTACTCGCAGACGCTTATTTATGTCATACCACAACAAAGAGAGCATTTCTTCTCTAATTCTCAGCAAAACTCCAGGATCCAAAGAAGCATGTAAGCGAAGAAGAACCATCCTGTAATCGGGGAGGTGCTACAATGAATTCTACTCTCATTGGAAACTCCAGATCCTCATTCCCTTTCACTTCTGATCTCACAAATAGATCAATAAAGATTACTTAAAGGCACGAGACGACAAGAAATAATAAAAGCTATGGAACGAAAAAAAAGAATCAAGGAACATTAGGAACTGAGAGGAACAAAAGTTTTACCATATATGCATCAAGGTCAGTTTGTACCACGTTGAGAAGTAGTCTTCTAGTCCAAACACTACAACGAAATAATAACTGCTAAAAATTACAAAAAAAAAAAAAAAAAAAAAAAA